AAACCAAAGGTTGTCTACTGGTTATTTATAACAAAGGTAAATCGTACATCTCATGTTCTTATGCTTGGTTAGAATTTTTAAAAAAAGGGGGCGCCTGGCTGGCTCAGTTGGTAGAATGGGACTCTTGATCTCGGGGTTGTAAGTTCATGCCCCACATTGGGTATAGAGATTACTTAAAAAAAAATAAAATCTTAAAAAAAAAGATCTAGAGGATCATACTTGCTTAGGAACCATTGGAAGATGACATTTGAGAGTTTATCAAATTCAGGGTGGGGGTAATTATTAGGAAAAGTTCATTTTCCAAACAAGAAAAAAATGCATCAGAAAATTCAGTGTTTTGAAACAAAGTGAATATTTTTTGCTTTAAAATATTTCTTCTCCCTCTACCTACCCCAATGCCCAAATTTCAGAATGTCTCTTCTTTTCCAAATTCTCTGTAACCGTACAGTGTGGCCTTTGTCATGTCACTTAAGTGATTAATTTGTTCATTTACGTATTTATTTATTCATTCAACAAACATGAAGTTATTCTTTTATGTATGGGAAAACAGAGATGAATGAGCCATAATCCCTACCCTTCGGAGTGCTAAACAGGGTGACGTTACAGATGCTGTAATATGTATGTCTGGGGCTGGCGCGGTGAAGGCAGTTTCGGGAAGAGTAGATCACACTCAAGCTGAGACAGATGTGAGTCGGCGCTCACCAGGTAGAACATGATTCCCTAGGGAAAAGGAAGAGCTCAAGGAAGGCTCCAGCAGAGCAGTGTGGTCAGTTCAGAGTGGGGTTAGCATCACAAGCGAGGGAAGGGTACCGCCTCACGGAGAGGTGAGGGCCTTTACATGTTGCCAAGGTGTTAAAACTTTATGCTTTGAGGCAGAGGGGTCTCCCAGTGACTCGGATGCCTGGTTGAAATTCTGAGCTGATCTGCCCTGTTTTCTTCATTCATGTGGCATTAAAAAATGACGGGCTGTGATACAAGATGTGACCGTCATCTTTTCCCTGAAATAGTTCTGAGCAGCTCTCTTGCTTGGAACCCACTCATCTGCTAAGCTTCAGTGATGCTGAGCAGACAGCATGATTGCATATTCAGCTGGTGCTTGGAAGTTGGTCCTTTGCCATCTCTGTCACCGGCTCACTGGGCAGCCTGGATGCATGTAACCATTAGGTGAATGTCTCGGAGCCTTGGTGTCTGTAGTGTGAGATGTAGATAATTATACTTATATTCGCTTGCCTCGTGGGACTTCTCCTTAATATTTATAGCTGCAAAAGACTTCGCAGTCATTTTTATTAATAGTTGCCAGATGTGTCGTAAGGATTAATGAACTTATGATCTGAAATGTTTTGAGCTCCTGAAATAGGAGGCAACTGCCTGCACCGGGGATGTGTAAAAGAGCATTAAAATGCAAACAATACACATTTGGAAATCTGAGCTCTTAGGTGTGAAGGACAAACGGCACACTTAAGATTTCAGTACACTTTGTAGGTATTTTTGGTGTCCTTAATGAAGCTCCTGAATTCATCACAGGCCATTGCCCAACACACAAGGCTGGGTCCCCGCACCCTCGCACATGGGCCCACGCACAGGGGCACACACGCATGGACACGGGTTCTGCTAACACCACTGTGACCCTCCTCCTGGTCATCCATCCTTCGTGGCCATCATCTTTGACTCTATTTCCCCAGCCTCCCCAGCCAGTTGTTTCCAAGTGGGCAGGACTCTCCCTCATATCTCTAGCTTTTCAGTACCTTTTCCTCTTTCCATCCAAGTTCAGGCTCTCAATAGCTCTCCACCAAACTGTTGAAGCAACTTCTTCGTTGATCTCTCCAAGTTTCATATCTCCCCTGTTTAAGGGTTAATCGTCTCCAAGCGTACCTCTTATCACCGCTCATTCATTTACCTTTGATAGCTCGCCAATGTGGGTGAAAATCAGCCATAAGCTCACAAGGCCGCCTGCACACGGCCTAACCTGCTTCCCTGTGCCCAGTGCGGGTCACTCGAGATCATTCTCTCTTCCCCAAGCCCTCCTGGCAGATTGAGTAGCTTTTCTGGGGACAGAGGTGGCAGTAGAGGGAACACATCAGGCGCAAAGAGCCCCGTGCCTTTGCCATGTCGTTCTTCATGTTGGAAGTGTCCCTCTGCCCCGGGAAAAGCCGCTCAGTCTTCAAGGCCTGTCTCAAAGTGTAGTCGCCCCCCAGGGAGGGTATTCTAGGCCTGTTTCATTTATCATCCCTTCCTCTGAATCTTCCCTGCGTTTGAAGCTTTCATTCTAGTATCTATCATTTTCCTTGCTGTTTCAGTTATTTGCATACATGTCCTTGCCTGTCTGCCGAGAGCAAAGCCTGTGACTTTGTGAACTTTGTGTTCTTCCCAGCACCTGTTGCGATGCCTTGTACACTGTGAGACCCAAGTCTTTGTTGAACTGAATTTGTACATTGAGTCTCAGTTATCTTCTTCACGTAGGACGGTATTATGGAAAAATTTGAAATACATAAAAGTAGAGAGAATACGACCGTGAATCCTGTGTGCTTGTCACCTCGCTTCAGTAAAAATCAATACAGAGCCGGTGTTGTATGCCTACACCCCATCCTCTTTAGCCTGCACCTTTCAGAGTCCTCTGTCGGAGACGTATCTACCTGATGCTCACTTGGCCAGGGTTGGTTTCTGGCAGCTGCCACCACCTGGCTTCCCAAGGAGGGAGCCCCACACAGTTACGAGCACGTGAGCAGTAGGTGTGCTCCAGGTACTTGACAGGACACTCAGGACCCACTCAGACCCGGTCCCATCTTATTTTCGACACTGTGTTTAGCCGTTTCAGATGTGTGTCATCATCCAGTGTCTCGCTTCCCCCTTCCTCTGAATGGTGGCCTCGGGGTGGGCCTGTTCACGAGGCAAGTATGTTGCTGGTGAAGAAGTGGTCATGGCAGTGACTGATGGTGGCGGGAAGCCTGTGAGGGGAGACGTGAGGTCTCAGTGTGACGGCCCGGAGCCATGACGTGGGGCCCTGGGTACCAGGAAGCCTGTGGGTTCGCTGATGCCACAGTGTCACAGGCTCGTCCCTTCACTCATGGCAGCAGATGTTTTTTTAAGCGTTTACTGGAGTTTTCTCATTCCCCTGAGTCCGAGAAGAAAGTGTAAGTTGTGTTTCCATGTTCTGTTCAGGAGGGCAAGAGTGCTCTCATCGTAGAGAGGCTTCATCCTGGGTGGTTATGTTCCACCCTTGGTGGGATTTTACCTGTTTATGCTTTACGGGGCAATGTTTCACCCCCATCTTCTCTGCTTTAAGGAAGATCTAACTGAGGGATGTAAGTATTTTGGGGTTTGAGCTTAAGAGACGTTTTTTCTGCCTTTACAAAGGAAATATGCCACGAACACCTTTCCGTTTGTGGGGGACTTCAGATATTATGGAAGAAAGTAAATACCAAAAGGAAGACGGCAGTCCCTGTATTCAAGGACTGTAAGGTGGAGTGAAGGGTACTTGCTTGAGAGTAACTCCACTGTCACTGTCTACCAGGTCACCAGCAGAGCGGAGTTATTTGGTGCTGTCGACTCAGGTTAACCTCCTGAGTGCACCATCTTGTTCCAGGTGGGCTCTTGTCCCTTCAGTAAGAGCTGGGACTGCTCAGTAGGAAGCCGGTCTTCGGCCATCCAGCCTTAGTGCCTGCCAATTGTCCGGAGCATCCTGATGGTGTAGAAGCCATCATGGGAACGGGGAGGACCTGGAGCACGTAGGGTCAGAAGAAGGGAAGTGGAAAGATAGGAAATCTGCCTCTCTACGCAATTTAGGTAAGAGATGATGAGTGGTCAGCGACTTTTCCTTTTGGATCCAACAAGACAAAGAACACTGCTACTGCATTGAAACAAACTGTGACACCCAATTTTGACCGTCCTGTGAGGCTGCCAGGATCCTCTGGGAGCTGGGCATCCTGAGGCGAGGTCCAGACTCTGGTGCTGGAATGGGAGGACCTGAGAAAGAGCCAGAGGCTGGTTGATGGAAGAAAGGCAGAAGTGGTGGATTCGTGGTTTCTTGGAGAGAATCATGTCTGTCTCTGTATCTCAGTGCCGTTGTAAACCCAGCAGCTGCTAAAAGGATGCTTGATTTCTTCTCCTTTGCGGTTACCAGCTTCTTCTTCAGACCTCCCTTTTCCTTATCCTGGTGCTAGTGATTTTTTTACTCTTTTTTTTTTTTTTTATGTTCCTTGAGCCACATGTCCATAAGTAATGTCCTTCTCTTCCTGTTGCTTACGCAGCCGTTGATTCAGGCCCTCACCCCCTCTCATCTGCTCTGTTGCTGGAGTCTCCTCAGCGATCTGCCTACCTTAGCCTTTAAATATTTCTCCAGTCGCTTTGCCTTCTACTACCAGATCCGTCAGCTCAAGCTCCTGCTTTCTTCACTCAGGCATCGCTGGTGGTCCTCGTCCTTACTTGATTGGGATACCAAAGCGTCTCTCCATGTATCTGTCCCGCTCTCTGCTCTGCCCCAGAAGTGGGCTGTAGCCAGACTGGCCTCCTTACTCCTCACTTCCTGTGACGACACGCGCCGGTCCTGCTTGGGCACCAGTTCTCCCTGGACATCAAGGCCTCGTTTGTGTTCCACCTCCTGCCTGAAGCCCTTCCCAATCTTTCCTGTTCCAACCCTTTCTCTCTGGCATCCTATAACACTTGTAGTGCAGAACTGCCTTGACGAACACGCGCCGTATGTGAGCGCAGAGCCTGTGCACGTGTAAGCACGCCATGTGTGTTACTGTTTTCAGCACGTTTCTGGGGTTACCAGCTGCTTGCTGTGCTCCTTACTGCTTACATTTCCCTGTGTAGTGTGGCGCCACTAGCCCTTGGCAGGCCTACTTGGCAGTGACTTGTTAGAATTCGCGAAAGTGGTAGAAGTTCACTTCGACTGGGTCCTCCTGACGGGCTCTTCAGTCTGTTCAGTGGAAACCTTCTCTGGTTATCTCTGTTCTGCTTCTCTTGATCCCTCACGCCTGCCTGTTCACTTGTTTCCTCAGCCCGTGCCCCGAATCATGGTGCAGGCTGCCCTTGCGGACGCCGGGATGACCAGAGTGGGGGAGGTGAGTCAGACTGGCGGTGGGGGGGGGGATGGTGGCGCCTTCACTGGCAGCCGCACCACATGTGGGGGGTGGCCCCGATGCCATAACTGTTGAGTCCACACCGTGGGTTTTTCATTTTAGCGTTCCCATTTGATAATTAGCTATAATATAGGTCACTGTCTTCTCCCTCTATATTTTCCTTGTTCCACTTTTCTATTTTCAACTTGTTAATCATATGATTGCTAAACTTTTAGGTGCTTGACTGCTAATGTAGTCTGTTGCTTTAATAGCCCACTGCTAGGCAGAGGCGATTTCTATAAACAGAACAATCTCCTTATTCCAAGTGTTTGCTTAATTCTCAGTTTTACATTTCATTCTGATTCATGATATCAGCGTGAAAAGACTAATGCTAAGCTGGGGAGAAAATAGTCTCTTATGATCTCCCACAGATGAACAGCACTTCTCATCTTATGAATAGCAAATCTATTTTCTCCCACTGTGCGTTCATTCTCTTAGGAAATTCTGTGTCTTCATCAGAAAATTTTATTTATTAAAACAACAGCAAAAATGGGCAAATAATTTGAAAGGGGATTCAGTCCTTTCTGAAAGGCCCTTTCCAATCCAGGACATATTTGGTGTTCACATGGCCCCCCTTGCTCCCCCCGTGAGTTGTGTGAGGCAGGCCTGGGGCCCCAAGGCCAACGGGACCGAGGACCGAGTCTCTTATTGGTGAGGGCATCAGATCTCCTGCAGCCTCTGCAGCTCAAGCCGCACCGCTGTTCATCCTGGTGGTTTTTGCAAGGCTAGACTTTCACGGCAGTCTCTAGGAGTGGCAGTGGTAAGGGAATAACCCAAGGCCGGGGAATAGGTTTCCACTCACATAGAAACTCCAGTCAAGTGGGAGCAGCTTCCCGCAGTGCTCTCACGGAAGGAATCTGAGGCTGCATTCAGGCTCAGCAGGAAAGAACGGTGCAATCAGGGCTCGCCTTCTGCCACCTTTGGTCTCTGTTGTCACTGTGGATCTGACCTCTGGTCTCTGGTTGTCACTTACTGGAGCTTTGGATAAACCCTTTAACCTCGCTGGGCCATGTTGTAAAATGCATATTTACATGTGGGAGCAAATGGGATAATGACCAGGGAGATCAAAGTCACACTCCCTGGACTGTCACCTCCTCAGGACGGGACGTAGCTGGCCCTTAGCAGACAGCTGTCCATGTGGCAGTGATGGGGTATTACCCACCAGGGGAATAGGGAGCACGCACAATTCCAGAACCAAAGTTCCCGTTCAGATCCTAGGCTCTTGTAATTTTGTTTGTATATTCTTCCCTGCCTGGTCAGTGATATTAAAAATAAAATAGAAAAGAATAAATAAAACATGTACAAGTTGCAAAAGAAAAATGATTGAAGGATGGCCTAATCTTTTAGAGTATTTATGCTGGTGACAGTTATTGATCTATTGGATTTAGTAAATTTTGCAGCCTAGAGATCCATCACAAAAATGGGCTGTTAATCTCAAGAGGTGCCGTTAATTTCGTACCCTGAAAGTGTGCCTTGTGGGGAAAGGAGGGCCTCTGGAGACAGGAATATAAATGACAATTCACGTGAAAATGCATGATTTATCAAACTGCTGAGTTAAGCCAAGTAACTGTAAGAGACTTATAGATCTCAGCTGTTTCCCAGTTCAAATAAATCCTGTATTTCAAATGGAAAATGGCCATTCCTGTAATATAAATAATCTTTCCGTAAATATTGGAAGACATATTTCTTTTTCTGAACAGCACCCTTCTCCAGTGCACCAACCCCATTCCCCATTCCTGCCTTCTCTCTCGCCCCTGTCATTGTGAATCGGGGATAGAAAGATAACCTGCTCCCTTCTTCAAATGGCTTCAGCTGTCAGTGAAAGAACACCTTAGCAGCACCTCAGAAACAGTAGAATGTGGACGGGCAGTGGCTGTCGTCATTCCCCAGGAGATTGGGGCCGCGTGTGTGTCTCTGCCCGTATGACTCAGACGAGTGATCCCAGAGGGGGAGGCCAGCCTCTGTGGCTCCGTCAGTGCTCAGCCCCTCTTCATGGCAGGGCAGGCGGCTGCTCGGCCTGCGTCTCCCTGGATCAGAGGGCCCCCGACCCGTGACATGGGACCAGCCTGCAGCCCGCCCATCTCCTCTTCTGCCACCTGATCCCCTGCCAGGAGCCGCGAGTCAGCTACCAGGCCCGAACGTCGTTCGTGGCTGGGCTGGTGAAGCTATGCTAAGTCCCTTGTGAATCCCCCAAGGACATCCTCGTTCCCACTTTGCAGGAGAAAGTGCTCTTCTGGCCTCTAGTGATTCTCTCCGTTCCCCGTGAAGTCCCTGGTGGGCAGGGGATCTGTTTCCGTGGGAACAGGGTTCTGAGCCTGAGTGCAGCAAGGCCAGGGGTGCAGGCGGGTAAGGAGGGACTGGAGATTTAGTGTGCACCTACTGGGCGCCGCGCCCTGGGGTGAGGGCCTTTTCCTGCCTTGTCAGGCCTCACGGACCCTGCATGGCCATCAAGTATGCATTCTGGCCCACCACCAAGCAAGCGCTGTTCCACACCAGCTGAACGTTCTTCGAGTCAACTCAATTCTGACACTGTCTACCTGGAGACCGCGTCAGTACCCACTCAGGCCCACAAGACTGCCCCCGCTTTGGATGCCAGTCGCAAGCCCAGGTTGTCTGTCACCTGTGCTCTGACCAACCGGCTGTAGATAAGAGGTTCCAATGATCTCCACTTGGGTTTGATTAATTTGTTAGAATGCTTCACAGAACCATTTTACTCACTAGATCATCAGTTTATTCCAAGGGATAGGATTCGGAAACAGCCAATGGAAGAGAGGCATAGGGCAAGGTGTGGGGAAAAGGTGTGGACGTTCAGTGCCTGCCTGGGTGCCCCGCTCTCCCCACACCCCTGCGTGTTCACCAGCCCGGCAGCTTCCAGAAGCCTGTCCTTCCGGGTTGTTATGGAGGCCTTGTTGCACAGGCGCGATTGATTAAATCATTGGCAGTTAGTGATTAAGTCACCTGCAGCCCTGCTCTCCGCCGCAGAGGCGGTGGGGCTGAGGCACTAATCAGAAGGTGGGTTCCCCTGGCACCCAGGCCCCATCCTGAGGTGCTGCCCCAGAGCCACCGCCTTAACGTGGCCTCAGGTGTGGTTGCAGGGGCCTTGTTACGAATATCAAGACACCTTTATTGCTCTTAACACGTAGGAAACTCCAAGGGTTTCAGGATCTCTGTGGCAGAAACAGGATGAAGGCCGAATATATATTTCTTAGCAAAAGTCAGGCTATCCCAGGCAGTAGTTAGACTCCGAGTGTATACAGAAGGCCAGGAGGTGGAAGGGGCAGGCCGGCGGCCGCCCGCTGTGCTCTCAGCGCCCGCCTGGCCCATAGTGGGCTCCTCGGCATTTGGTGCGCGGAAAGCCGGGGTCACATGGACGAAGTGGTGGCGCAGATAGGGACACGGGGTCCGCCCTAGTGCATTAGCAGCTTCCGACCCTGCGAGCCGTCATGTTTCAGCCGACGAAATCTGTCGCAGTTCTTTTGGGAATGAACAGCAAACTTGGGAATTTTAACCAGTTCTCCTTGCGCCCTCCTCTGCTCCAGGCTCACCGAGAGAGCGTGGGGATCAGTGCGGCCCCCAATGTGACTGCGCACCCGGCCCCCGTGAAGCTCTACGACAGACCGACCAAGGCGCCTGCCCCGCAGGCGGCCGCTGCCGGCGCCCAGGCCCCTGAGGTGCAGGAGGGGCCGCCCAGCCCCCTGAGCGAGGCCTCCAGCGGCTACTTTTCCCATAGCGTCTCCTCCGCCACGCTGTCCGATGCGTTCGTCCCTGGCCTGGACAGCGCGGCGACAGCGGGCGGGCAGACCCCCGGCTCGCCCCCGCCGGCCCTCTGCCAGGCCACCCCGGAGACGGAGCTCCCGCTTACCCCGACCGCTCCCGCAGCAGACGGTGAGCTTCCCGCCCCCCGGCACGGCCAGGGCAGCCTTCTGTCGCTGCCGGTCCCAGCAAAGCAGGATGCGTGGGGCGACAGCGATGGCGCATGCGAGGCCAAGGAGCTGGTTTCCTCGGAGAAGGAAGACGCGAGCGCACCCCTGACAACTCTCGCCGCTTGCGCCCCCCCGAAGGAATCGCGCAGCCGGCAGGGCGGGGGCGAGGTTTCCCCCGCCACCACGCGGCTCGGAAGGCCCGAGAAGCACGCAGAGCCGGCCGCGGGCTCAGAGCTGGACGCCCCCACACCCCAGGTTCCTCCCGACCTCCTGTCTCTGTCCCCTGCTCCCGCGTCTCCGTTCAGAATCCAGAAGGTGCGGACCTCCGAGCTGAAGTCGTTCACGCGCATGCTGGGCGGAGACCCCAGCTGCCAGTCGGCGGCCGAGGAGGACCTGCTGGCCTCGGGGGCGCTGGGCGTCGGCGGGGCCGGGGTACCGGCCCTGGGAAAGCTGGAAGTGTCCTCCGATTCTGAAGAAGCCAGCGAAGTCCCAGAGTGGCTCAGAGAGGGGGAATATGTCACCGTGGGCACCAACAAAATGGGCATCGTGAGATACATCGGGCCCACCGACTTTCAGGAGGGGACGTGGATCGGAGTGGAGCTGGACTTACCTTCAGGTGAGTGGTGCTGCTTGGGGCCTGGTTCCCGGCGCGCAGGTGACTTAGCCAAGGGCGGGCTGGAAGATGAACCTGCTGTGTGCCCCTGGGCGTATCATTGGACCTCCCCGAGCCTCTACTTTTCAAGTCACTGCTTTTCAGAACCAGGAATAAGAGTTTCCTAAGGCTTCTCTCTGTTTAACCTACATTTTTCAGAAACCTAAGACATTAATTGAAAGCCACTATCAGTTTGGTAATGAATTTAAGCGCCTTTTTTTTCAAAGTCACAGAGGCCTCTGCTCTTGAACTGTAACAGTCTAACAGCTCTGTGTGCCGCATCTGCTCGGGTTGCAGACACAGATGCCTGTGGGGGTGCTTGGACGCCTGGGCTGGAGAACAGAAGGCAGGGTGATCTGAGGTGCATTCCAGGCTCACCAGCCTCTTAAATGTCATTGTAGAACGGCACATCTTACAAGCGACTGGATCACCATTTTCTGAAAAACCAGGGGCACAACTTAAGGAACTACTTGGTCCTTTAGATGTTTGTATTTATTTATTTAAGAGGGAGAGCACGAGCAGGGGGAGTGGCAGGCAGAGGGGGGAGTGGCAGGCAGAGGGAGAAGCAGACTCCCCGCTGAGCAAGGAACCCCACATGGAGCTCGATCCTGGGATCCTGAGATCATGACTTGAGCGGAAGTCAGACGCTCAGTCAGGTGAGGCACCACGCATCCCCATATGTTTTTTTTTTAACACAGCTTTATTGTGATACCAATTCACATACTGTAAAGTCTACCTGTTAAAAGTGTACAGTTTAATCGTTCTGAGTATATTGTGCAACCATTACCACAGTCTACTTTTAGAATAGGTTTGTCAACCCTCCCCCACAAAAAAGCCACATGGCCATTTGTAAGGCAGTCTCCTCCCTAAAGCCCTAGGTAACCAATAATCTATTTTTTGTCCCTTTAAATGTATATGAAATGTCCCAATCTGGACTTCCACATAAAGGGGATCAGGCAGTATGTGGGCTTTTGTGACTGGCTTCTTTCACTTAGCATGATTTTCCAAGGTAGATCTGGTTACAAGCTGGGTCAGCCCTTCATTCCTTTTTATGGCCAGATACACAATTCCGTTGTGTGGGGGGGCACCTTTTGTTCATCCATTTGTCAGTGGGTGGACATGTGGGTGGTTTCCACTTTTTGGCGATTGTGAATAATGTTGTAAGTTGGAAGTGGTTCCAGAAGAGTCCTGTAGCTAGAATATTTTTTGAAGGAGTATCTGCTACTCTGTGCAGGGGAATTGGGAGAGAAGTTTATATCTGCAGTTGAACTCAAGAATTGAAGAGGAATTAACAAATAGATCAGTTCATCCAACAATACGTATTAAGCATCTACCATGTAGCAGTCACCATGTTGGATCCCAAGGATACTTTGGGGAGCGAAATAAAGTCCCTGGTTTCACTGGACTTTCATTTTAAGAGGGAGAAAATTGCCAAGTAGACACATAAATAAATAATTAAAATTTGATAGTAGTAAGTATGAAGAAAATGAAATGGGGTGAGCAGGCAGGATGGTGGGGAACCTGGAAGCGGGGAGCCGGTGCTGGGGGCGGTGGTGTGCACGCCCTGGGAGCTGAGTGATAGCGGTGGCCCGAGAGAGATGGTCTGTTAGGTGCTTTGAGAGGTGCACTGAGGGGACCCCTTGTTGACGGAGAGCAGAGGTGTGCGGGGGGAGAGAAGGGCAGGTCAGGATGTGCAGACAGTGAATGTAGAAAATTCATGATTGTTTTTGCTGCAGAGATCATGTTCCCCACCAACCTGTCCCCATGGCACGTTGACATGTAGGGGTCATGGGGGCTCGTTTCTTCAGGCACCCTCTCCCTGTACTGACTTGAGTGCCGGGTTCTTCTTCTTCACCTCAGTGCATTTTCTGTTGCTTTTACAAAGGAAACTTCCTTACGCCATCTTGATACATCAAGTGTGATATCTCACTAGCTACAATTTGGTAATTTGCCAGTTTCCATCTGTTAGAGTCAGGAAAAATAATCATTCTACAGTGACATCCATCCTAGGTTTACATGTTGACCAGCCAGGTTGAAGAAGGTCCATGCCCCAGGCTCGGGTGGGGTCGGTCCAGCTCTGCTTTGGTGACTTGCCTGCACCCGGACACCGGAAATGACAGGACCTGGGGCTGCCCGGGGGTGCCAGTCCTTGGGGACCGCCGTGTGCCTCCGGGGTCACCCCAGCCTCCTTTGCTCAACAGTGAGCACCTGTGCCCCCAGGGAGCCACCAGGCACACAGGGCCCCGGAGCGAGGGGCTGTGGGAAGCCACCCCCATGTGTTCTTCTCTCTTCCCCTCAGGTAAGAATGACGGCTCCATCGGAGGGAAGCAGTACTTCAAGTGCAACCCCGGCTATGGGCTGCTGGTGAGGCCAGGCCGGGTGCGCAGAGCAGTGGGCGTGGGCCGGCGGCGTGGCGCAGGGCTCCGGCCGCAGGGCGCCCCCGAGCCCCGCAGGAGCAGCACCCTCTCCGGCTCCGCCACCAACCTGGCCTCCTTGACAGCGGCTCTGGCCAAGGCGGAGGGTGCCACGGCACTGAGGGCCGACAGGAGCCATAAGAACCCTGAGAACCGAAAATCCTGGGCCAGCTAAACCAGTGCTGAACGCCACGCCCCCCCCCTCGGGTTGCATCCTCCCGGCCTGCTGGCCTGCTTCCCTCTGCTTCCCAGGCAGAGGCTGACAGAGAGGGGGTGGCCAGTGCCCCCTTCCGAGCCTTGCCAGTGACAGCCCCGGGGTGGGGATGGGAACTGACTGGGCAGGGACACCTTAAACCCCCTTCTGTGGGGAGCATGGTGAGGCATCCTTTCTGCACAACACAGGGCTGCTGACCTCTCCCTGCTCCTCCCGGGACTCTGGAAGCTTCATTTCTTCCTCTGCGCAGAGAATGGGGAGGCATCTCAGCAAGGTAGAGGGTGGAAGGTTCTAGGAGCCCAGAGCCGTCCTGGATTGTGGGAGCGAGGCTCCTGCCCATCCCCATGCCTGGGGTTCCTCCCCGCCCCCCAGGGGCTGCTGTTGTTCCTTTTTTTGGTTCTGATGACCCCATTAACCTCTTAACCAACCCAGTGCCTTTCTTTCCTGCAGAGGTGGGGCATCCTCCCTATGCCTCCAGAGCCAGCACCCCGGCTGACCTCTGCTGGACCTGGCTTGCTCCCTAGGCTCACTGCATCCCTCTGGCCCCCAGAGTCCCTACACCTAGTAACAAGCTCCCGTAAGGGCCTCTGGCTAGCCTCCTGGGGTTCCTGACACTGGGTCCAGGGCGCCCCAGCAAGGGGCACTGGGCCTGGCCCCTCCTGCCTTTCCCTCTTCCTTTCCACAGGGTTTCTTAGGGCTTTCTTTGTGGGTGTGTTAGTGTCTTTAATACCTGCAAAGTGTTTTCTCTTTGCCATTTATTCCCTTAACAGAGTGCTTAGAATATATTTATTTATATTTATTTTTTCAAAATCCGAAGTCATTCGCGAGCCACAATCATCTGCCCAGGCATGAGTGCCCGGGGCTTGCCTCGCACATCGCCAGCCTCTGAGGTCACTCAGGGCTGCCAGCCTCCGGCCTCAGGTGGAGGTTCCCAGAGGGGCCAGAGGATGATGCCCCTCCTTATGTCGTTATTGACACAGATACACAAGTGGCCTTACTCTAAGGTGACAGTGACAACTTGGAGAATTATGTTATTGTGCTTCTGCAGTAACAAAGTCAGAGGCATCACGACGTTACCTGGTGCAATTTTGGTTTCTTGGAAGGACCTTAGACTAGTTTAACTTCTTGGCAATTCCCTACCCTGACTCCCTCACCGAGCCTGGGGGACTGTGGCCTAGCAGAGCTCCCCACTGTCCCTGTGTCTGGCCCTTTGCCGAGCCACAGACGCGTCCCAGACAGCATGAGACCTCCAAGAGCGTTGCCCACCTGCTGCCAGGATACCTCTGGGCCTGGAGCCCTTTCCTGCTGGGCTCACTGGGAGGGGGTCTGTGGAAGCGGGCAGAGGGCTGGTGCCTTGCAGGCCGCAGTGGCCCAGGCACCTCCATGCCAGTAGTAGACCAGTGACCACCTGCCGTGTGCATCCTCACGAGCTGGCCGCAGGAGCCTAGGGGACACGGTGGCCCCTCCGGGACAGAGCCCTGGGTCAGGATTTGTGCACAGCCGTCTTAGAGGCCCGTTTTTAGCTCTCACGTTTAGACCCTAAAAAACAATGCCCAGAAAGCCCTTTTTTGCAAAATCTTGTTCTCTAGGGATTTGAAGCCCCACCCGAGAAGGAACGCCAGGTTCCGTGCCCCTGGGTGGGGCTGGGTGGGGCCTGCGGGCAGCTGGGGAAGCAGAGCCCCGTGGGCACCCCCAGGTGTGCAGCTGCTGCACGCCGCGTCCCCCCCCCGGGGAGGAGCCCGATTAATTAGCTTCCATTAATTACACGTGGCGGTGCCCGCCCGCCTCTCGGGCCCAGCTCCCTAACAGCCCGCTGTGCGCCAGCGCGGTTTAACCTCCGCCTGGGAGGGGGTGGGCCACACTCGGCGGACAACGCAGCCCCCCGCCCCCCCCCCAGGACAGAGGACAGGGCCCGGAGCGGACGAGCACACCCCTGGCGTAGCTTTAAACCCGCAGATGTTCATAGTTTCAGAGCTGGACGAGATCTTCTCACAGAGAACAGGCTGAAGCCGAGGAGAGGTCGGTGCTTCTTTCCCGCTTGTAGAAGCTTGGGCGTCCGACTGCCCGCCAGGCGCTCTCTGCTGTTCCCCGGAAGCACTGGAGACCGTAGGCACAGCGCCGTGGCTGCCCTCCCACCCCCGGGGGCCCCTGCGTCCCGTCCTCGGCCGCACAGTTCCCTTGGCCCGGGAGGGCGGTGTCTCTGTTCCTCCGGCCGGGGCGGCCACGAGCGCACCGCCGGGACTCCTGCCGGGCGCCCCACGTGTGAGGGGATCCGGCCCGGGGGCGGGGGGGGCAGCCGCGCCCGCGTGCCGCCCGTCTTCGTGCTGCGCGTTCTGTGCTCTGCTCTTCGGCGGAAGGTCCTTCCCGGCACAGAAGCCCTCTAACAACCCGCACCCAGTTTAGGGCTCGTCTCTGGGGACGCCGGCGTCCGTGGGCCCGTGCACGCAGGTCCGGCGCCACCCCTTTATCTGGGGCGAGCAGCTCCTGCCCCCACAGCCTCCGGTGACCAGCCTGCGGGCCCACGTCGGGCACCGCGCTCACTGGGGAGAACCAAGGGAAGGTGGAAGGCCGGTTGGCTCTGTCGCTCGGGCTGGGTAAGATGGAGTAGACCGCAGTGGGATTGAGGGCCCGAGCAGGGGGGCCGGGGAAGAGCCCTGACCGAGTTCAGACCGGCCCGGCATGGGAAGAGGTTTCGGGACCACCTTCCCTTCCTCCCAGGCTCGCCGCCTCCCCCTCGCCCCCCCCCCACCCCGCCGACTGCTTTTTAAACACGGCCACGTCCCCCGCCCAAGATTCCCCACCACCGTCCCAGGTCCCCGCATCTCTGCCCCCGGGCGCAGCAGCCTGTGCTTGGAGCCCAGCCTTCGCTGGGCCTGGAGCACCCGAGCGGAGCGCCGGGCGGAACAGCTCTGTTGCCCCCCAGGTGGGCAGGTCGTCGTGCTTCGCGGGAGGAAGGTGCTGCGGGGGCTGCTTGCCGGGGTTTCCTGCCAGTGGAGGGCGCTTTGGGCCCCGTCCTGTAGAGTGTGAGAGAGGACAGGGCCGCCCCGTCGGTGTTCTCAGGGGAGGGGGGTGCTGTCATTGCAGCTGGCCGTCACCAGTGCCCGGAGAGGCGGGTGTGGCTCTCCTGGCCCAGCTGCAGCCCCGCGGGCACCCTGGCAGCCACGAGGGCTGTGCCGGGTCCTCGCAAGGACAGGGTTTGCCGTCCTGAGCCTCCCGTCTTCGTGCTCCGCCACCTGCACGTCCTTTCCAGGCCCGTGTGTCGCCAGATCACTCGGGGTGCAGGCGTCACTCCATTGCAGTCCGCTGTCTTCCCGGGCAGTCCCCGCTCCTTGGCGGGGGGGGGGGGGGGGGTGGCGAGCAGTGCCAGTCGGAAGGAGGCCCGCCCTGCTCTGGTCCCCGGCCTTCACTCTGGCTTCTCGGTGCAGACTCCTGGTAACTCGTTGCTGGGAAAGCAGTGACACGAAGTAGACGTGGTCACTAAAGCTGTAGCCCAGGAAGTCCCCACAACCCAGCATTTATGGGACCAGAGGGCGCGTCTTGCGGGTCGTGTGACCGTGGGAGACGGAGGGAAGCCCCCCATCTGCCCTGTCTTCTGTTCTCACCTTACCGATAGGCCTGATGGTAACCAGCGTGTCAGCCCTAGGGTGCGGGATGTGGTTCTGGCAGCTCCCAGGCTCTGGGATCCGGGGTGATAGCAAGAGGGGGATGGGTTGCCTGCACGCAGGTGCCGCACGAGGACGTGTCAGGGGCCAGGTGGGGGCCGCAGGGGGGCAGCGGTCCGGAATCCCAGCCTGGCCAGAGGGCACGGGAGCAGGAGAAAGCACAGCCCGCGCGTGGGGCCGGGCTCAGCCGTGAAGGGCCTCGTGTGTTTGCGGAGAGATTGGCGCTTCCGTTGAGCTGTGAGTGGGGCCCTTGAAGAGTTTGAACGGCTTTAAGCGTTTCCATACCCCATTATTTCCCTTTTCTCCCCTTGGCTTACCGTTCCCTGTATGGGAGACCCACAAGAAGTTCCGGGGTATTTTCCTGGCGAAGACCAGCCCCACTTGCCTGAGGTCTGCCTGGAGGCCTGCATCTTGGACGGGGAGTGCCGGAGGAGGCGGCCACCTGTCTGTCGTGCCTTACCCTGGGGACGGCGAGTGCAGCCTGTCTTTTATGCCCAAGACACTGGCTCGATGATCTCCACACGCCTCTCTCTCTCCGAGAAGTCCGACGTGCCTTCAGCCGGGCCACTGACACTAATTTTGTGGGGGGTCTTGGAACATCTCCATGTGCGGAGTTCTGTGAATACAATGGGTTCGCGTATAAAGAAGTGATTTTGATTGGGGGACTGTATTGATTTGCTGCACATGAAATGGGAGTTTAAAAAAATCCAAAGACTCTAATGAATTGTAAAGACTGAATGATTTGTATTATATAATGAACTAAACCTCTGTAATTTTGTACCATATATGCCTTTCCCTCGTATGACCAGCAGCCTCTAAATAAAACCAGATGATTTCTTGCCTATGTCTGAGGTTGGTCTTGTTGCTTTTCCCTCCCTGACCCAGGCGCGGGGGTGTTTGGGTTCATTCTAGACGGTCCCCCAGGGCAAGGGATGGCCTGGGCCTGAGGCTTTTCAAGATTGAGACTAGAAGAGGGAGGTTTGGGGAAGCAGCAGGTCCCCGAGCGCACCTCTCCGGCCCCTGTGCTCTTTGTGGTGTAGACTGAAGAACCGGGGAGGCCCCACAGGTGGCCAGTCTTACTCCCCTTAGTTGAGACCTCTCACAGGAGCCCAGAACCAGTGGAAACTTTCGGGTAACGGGAGCATCTGGGCTAACCGGGAGGCAGCTGGCCTGGAGGGGGTTGGAGGTGGTGGGGACAGGCTGCTTCTCTGGAGGAGTGTGTCCCAATTCTCAGGGCACGGCCCCACTGCCTTGATCTACAAGATCGACTCCCCCAGCGGACCCCCTAACTAGGGAGCCGAGGACTTGTTCCACTGCTGCGCAGGTGGCTCTGGGGAGGGGATGGTGGTTGCAGACACTGGCAGGGCTGGTCACACCCCCGCAGGCTGTGGAACCCAGTGTCCTCTCTTGGTTCCTGCCTGTCCCCAACCTCAGGACGTGGCGCCCAGCGTGGCCCAGCACGGTTCGCAGCGGCCCGTGCGACCTGGGCGGATGAACAGGTCTCCTGTCAGATGGAGCACGGGACGGGGACGAGGCCGGCCCAGGGTGCTGCTTTCACAGGGAACCGACTCCCTGGGCAGCCGTGCGGCCGCGGCTCACTTGGCCCTCATCTGATGTGAATGTCCTTGCAGATGGAGAGGGCCGATCGGAGGTGGCCACCAGTCAGGGCACATCTTTGCGGGACTTGTTTATACTCCTAAGTGCCAAAGAGTTGTTCTCCGAGAGAAGTACTGCCAAATTATGACAGAAATTTGGCAGCCGGGAGCGGCCCTGCTCTGAGGCAGGAGTCTGAACGCAGAATTGATCTAGCTCCTGGGATAAATCCTCATTTTCGAGTTGCTATTTGTTCTCTCGCAACTCATATTACCTTCTCTGTCTGCCTGAGGCTGTGGGGTTGTTACGCTTGCTCAGACCCGAAAATGGGCTCCAGTGGACCCGTCCCATTTAGTTGGTTCACTCACTCGCTGAGTCGCTCAGTGCCCTTGTCCTGCACCGGCGTCGTGCAGCGAGCGGGGCCGACAAGCGATCCCGACGAGCCCCACGGCCGGGTCTAGAGGGCACGGGGCCGCCAGGAGGGGCCCCAGGGGCTCTAGGGGTTGAGGAGGTTCCCTCCAGGCTGGTGTTTGCAGGACTCGGAAGGACAGGAGGTGGAGGGGGCACTGCTGGGCAGGCGGCGGGCCTGAAGGAAGCAGAGAGCAGTTTGGGCCCAGATAGATAGAGGAGCGTGAGGTGAGGCGACGATGGTTCTCGGTATTCCCTCCCCCATCCCCCGCCCACCTCCACTTAAGACTTAGGGTTTGGGGGCAACTTAAAATTTAGCAGAGCTTTTTCTAATGATGTATGTATGGTAAGAAGAGAAAACCGTTTACTTCTCAGGCTTTCTCTGAGGAGGAGTAAGCACATCAAGCCGAGTCTGTTGGGTGAGAGGGGGCTCGGGCACTCTGTCCTTGACTCCTGCATAAGGATCTGACCCCAACCATTGGATGTCTTTAACGCAACGAAGCTTCAGCTTTCTTTGATTCCATTTTTCCACTGCTAAAGGTGAAGAAGCCCTGGGAAAGATGGCTCTTTTACGAAAACGAGGTCCTCGGCACGTGGCCTGGAGTGGGAGAGGGAAGGTGCGTGGAATGTCACGGCTCGGCACGAGGAAGGACAAGGCCGCGGTCCCCGCGGTGGAGAAGCCGCTAGGACCGCAGTGGTTCTGGGATGGGGGGCAGCTGGGGGTAAGGAAGGCGGAAGGGGAGGGAGGCTGGGGCCTGCGTGAGGGCGCCACTGGGCGGGACAGCCCGCGGAAGGCCCGGCCCCTTCCGGGTGGGACACGCCCTGAGAAGGCAGTTCGGTCGGAGGCGGACCGACTCAGGGGCTTTCGTGAGCAGGTGGCATTCCCTCTCAACCAGGTGGTATTGGATGTCACCTCAGCCCTGTCCAGGCGTCCTCGGGTCTCCGGGCTCACCAATCGTTTTTTTTTTTTTTAAAGCAAAGGCACTGACGTCCGAAAGGAAACGCCGCCGCCCCCCACCCCCCACGCCGCCCGTTAGTGTCGGGGCGCTGCCCAAATGACCGTCCTTACCCAAAGAAATCCCGGCCAGGCTTTGTTCAGTTATACGTTTTATTCTCTAATAGGTACAATACTAAAATAAACACAAATTAAAAAAAAGTTTTATTAAAACAAAACTGTACAAAAAAGCAGTATACTACATTTTAATTACAGAACAGTCTACTGTCCAAAAGGCACTAATCCAGAATAGGAGATACAATGATACAGGACTCATTTGAACTATTTTAATCAACACAATAGAGCACTTGTTTCTTTGACCATTTACATCTAGAAACAAGGGCTTTTTGCTACAGTCATTACACATTGTTATAAATATGAGTCCCACAGATGAAGGTGCAGTATCGCTCTCCCTAGACAAGGTTCACGCCAAGAGGGACTGCCGTGGGGCTGAGAGGTGGGCGGGCGGCGGGGGTGGGGCCCGGGCGGGGCGCCCGACGCCTTCCCCCGGGGAAAGGCGACCGCCCCGGGCGCACAGAGCTTGTCTTCCGGCCTGGCCTCTCAGATGGTTGGTTTCTGGCCGTTACTGGCAGCCACTTTACCCCCCTCTTGTGTGTTAGCACCGGGAAAGTGGGTTCTGAGATGCTCCAGGGAACTGGGGCTGCAGGTCTGGGTGATGAAGCGCCAGCAGCTCAGCAGAGGGGAGGCATTTTGGTAACCTGGTCTGAAAAAGGCAGAGGGACACAGAGCCCAGGGACGGCCAGTGAGCGGGGCACTAGAGCCAGGCAGAGCCCCCTGCTACTTTCTGGGCAGACTTCTGGCCCAGAACTGAGAGGTCCTGCATCTCCTCCTGAGGGACCCGGTGGAGTCTTCTGTTAGGGAGATCTGACAATCTTTTGTTTTGGAAGTTGCTTTCTGGAAGTGGGATTCTGCTTCCCAGAGGCCAGTGCCCTGCCTCACTGCTGCCTCAGGACCGCGAGCAGCTCCTGGGCAGGAGAGGGCCAAGCTCTGTCCACTTCTGCATGTTTGGTGGCCTGGACAACTCTCTAAACCCCAGATTTCATTCTCTGATGGACTCTGGACCTAAGGAAGAGAGATACTGCAGCTTTCCAAACAGTGTCATACACATATAAGACAAAGACAGGCATCTGATGTTAACAAAAATAAGTAACAAAGAAATAGGATTAAACCAAATCTCTTCTCACAGCATCCTATACTACATCCTCCTTCTGCTTAGCAGAAAATTGTACGTACACAAAAATACAAATACACAATTTTGTAGAACAGTCTGATTTTAATATATTTATATATATTTATATTTATACGAGTGGCAGGTTAGTTCATTATATAGAGCTTTTTGCACTTTTGGCTCATATGCAACAAGGCTTATAAATTCAGCTTTAGCTTTCATTCAGGTTTTATAGCTTTTGAACAATTGTTTTCACATTTAAAGCAGCATCCAATTTGCACTAGGAGTTTGTGGTGATTACAGGAAAGATGGGGTCAGGAGGTTACTGACAGGGAAGGCAGGGCCAGGGGCAGATATACATTCCAGTGTGTGTGGCGATGTCAGAGGATTGCTATGGGACAGAGTTGACCATGATGACCCCTTGAGGTAGACTGGACACCTTACAGCAGACTCAGACACAGGTGCGACTCCCCTCAGGGACACATGGTGCACAAGATGGGGGACAGAGACCAGGAGACACCAAAAGGAAACACAAAGACTAAGACATACGACGGCCAAGGCAGGGAAAGGGCGCTCTGCCCCCACACCCATCTGGCAGGGACCCCACACAGCCCGTCGCAGATACTCGAGTATTTGGTGGACGCTAAAGACTTTCAGGCAGTCCCAAGGCATCTGGTCCATGGTATCTGATCAGATTATGACCGTCAAACTCACTTTCCATTATATAACCAGCTGCGCCAGCTCGTTCCCACCCCTGCCACGGACAGGCAGACAGAGCTGCACGTGGTTCCGCCACGGGAACGAGTCCCCAGCACTGCGCGGCCGCCGGAGTGTTCGCGGCCGGTTAACGGAGAAGCAGGCGGGCCTCCTCCGCCGGGCGCTGCACCGCACTGCCGTCCCCGGCGCTGCTGCAGTCCCCGCGCACGCGCCTCTGGGACAACTGACAAGCCCCCGGGGAAGCTGTCAACACCAGCATCCGCAGGACCAAGCAGCAGCACACGGCGGACTCCGGGTTGCTCCAGGGCAGCCTCCCTCTCGTCAGCACCGTCACCACCACGGCAGCGGTCTGCCACTGGATCACTTTCATCAACCCGCCTCCCTTGTCTATCCAAATCCAAAGAATTCCTCTGGCAAATGTGCCCATACCTGTTCAATGTGAATGCCCACCATTTGGGTTATTACATTGTCTGAACAAAAACGCTGGATTATTAATGAAAATAAAGTGCCTGGGTATGGATTTGTCCATCTTGCAAAAACTTTCTAATGCACCAACAAATCATCTGAGCGCTGCTTAGTGCCGTGATGTGAACAGAGTGCAGTCACAAAATAATCCGTCGTACACCCACATTTAATAAAGGCCCCGAATTTAGGTCAGACTTCAATTACTTTAAAAAAGAAGCAAACAAATAACCTCACACTCATTTTCAAAGACGCACTTTTGATCTTGCTTCACCCCCCGCGATGATGGCCCTTCTGAGCCCTTGTGAGCAGACACCCTGACCCCTCAAATCTAGGAGGAGAGGACAGGGGGAGGCAGCCGGGGTTCCAGTGATTAATGATGGCAAATGAATCGTTGTGTGTTTAACTATGATTATCTGACTCTTTGCCCTCTTGGATCTGGATGCACTTTCCAGCTGCGGACATGGACAGACTGACTTCTGCTCTGCGGCTGTCTTGCTCTCCCCTATCTTCCCCACTCAGTAGCTGCAGACCTCGCGAAGCAGGCTCCTTAACATTCTCGAGGAGCCGAGACTGGAACCGCATCAACAGAGACATCCCTAAAAAGCAGCACAGGAAAGAGTGACAAAGCCAGCCTGATGGGGCAATGACGAGGTCGCCCTGCCCATGAGCTTGCCCTTGCAGTTGTTCTGCCTGCAGAACGCCAGGGACCCTGGAGAGGGGCAGCTCTCTGCGCCCGCCCCTGGGGGCTAAGTGCAGGGTGGGCAAGGGATGGGGGCAGGGCACAGGCCGACTCTCTGGCAGGTCCCAGAGGTCTGTAACTTGCTTAGGCACTTAAAAAACGTAACTAGAAACGTACCCTTGGAAGGTACTGCATACCCAACGGTGACTATGGCCGTGGAAGGGAGGGAGGGGAGCCCAGGGGAATCAGAGAAGGCTGTGGGCTCTTCCAGGGGAGGCAACTAGGATGTTCCTGGTATCTTCTGGCAGGGGAATGTCCCACCTTGCAGCCTGGGTGAATGTGACGAAACCAGGGCTGGGCCCAGCAGGGGCTTTTCTCTTTCCTGTTTCTGCAGACCAGGGCGAATGGACGGGGGAAGAGCAGGTGTGTGGGAACTCGGGACAGCCTGCTCTAGACTCACAGCCACAGGACTGCACGGGCCTGCTTTCTGTTGTCTGCGTGAGAAAACTACTAGGAAAGAAGAGGCCCTTTCGAAAGGAGTGTTCTGGCAAAACCAGTGAACAGTAAAGAAAAGCCTTGCCAGAGATGCCGATGCTTGAAGGGAGAAGCTCCCTACCCCCCAACCCCTGCCCCCAAGAACTTTGGTTTTGGTTTCGTGGTACCCATTTTCAGAGATGCAAGATCAAGGGGCTCACTGACTCTAACATACTGAAATGTGGTTTTCAAGGCAAATCATTAACAGTAATGCTCTTGAAAGGAGCCCACGGCTGAGCTCGCACCTTCGTTCAGTCTGCTCTACTAATGTGTGCACTGCCTACCCGGCCTAGGACTCTGGCATACAAACAAGAGTTGAGGGTAGGATCACTAGAGCAGCTGCTGTTTACGTTAATACAGAACTAATGTCGTTTTGTTTCCAGTTTAATAGCTTCAGCGAATGATGAAGTGGAAAAATGACCCTCATTAGTTTATGCTGGGCTCTTAGTTCCAGACAAGCAACAAAAGGGGAGTGGTTTCTGGGCTTAAAGGAAGCCAGAAAACAAGACTGAATTTCAGTGTGACCTGGATGTGATGGGAAGCTGGAAAAGTTATAAAGGCAACACAAATCTTGTGACTCATCTCTGCTATGCATACTGGTTCGTTAAGAGTCACGTGCACTTCCCAAGGACAGAGTTAATGTTTCCATTCCAAAATTTCAGGGGCACCCAACTGCCACCAGTCATGCCAGATCTGGATCAATAGCTAAACGGAAGGCACACATACCTTGTTCCCTTCACATTAGAGTGGGTTTTCTTTTTTTTTTTTTTGGTGGGAGGAATAGATAATCAAAAAACCCCATTAGCCAGCTAATGAAACAAGGTATCTATTACAGGGGCCACCAATCCCAAGTAGTCAACCTGGTGAATCCGCTCACGGGGCCACTCCAACTAGGGCTTTCCTCCGGGGCGGATTCCACTCTCTTGGGCTTCAAGGATGCCTAGGACATGACAGAGTGGATGAGAAGAGAGAGGGACAGCCAGCCCCTGAGAACCACTTATTTGCAAGAGGAAAAGAGCTGGAGAAGCGAGGGGAGAGAAACATGGAATTTCAGAACCGTCCTCAGGTCAGGTTGGAGTTGGTGCCCCTGACAGTAGTCACTGAGCTGCCACCTGAACCCCGAGGCAGCTTGCCCCTGTGCCGGACTGTGGTTATTAGAAAGTTCTTATGCTGAGCCCAAATCTGCACCTGTCTCCATGCAGGGCAGACACAAATACCAGAGTCCCAGAACCTCCTACTGGCTCAGGCCCACTGCCTCTCATGACTGTGATGGACGTGACAGCAGAATGAGCTGGAATGGCTTAGCTAAACACTTCTGTGCAGAAGCAGGATGCCTAAAAGTAAGAGATGCTCTTACTACGAAGATGCTCGAAGAGCTAAACAGAGGGAAAACAGAAGTGTGTGAGATTTTTAACATTCTCTGCTTCAACTAACTGGAAGTGCTAGTAAATTCTACTTCTCCTCAAAACACAGATGAGACAGCCCTACTGTTTCTTCCCCCAAAGAGGCAGGAACTCACATTTGCCTTCGGGAGACAGGATGCTTGAAACAAGAGGTTTCACATCACAGCTGCAGAGCCTCCCTTAGGTCACACGTTTCTATCACTGTCACTAAGCAAGGAGAAAGACCAAGGGGAAGGGATGCTCTTGTGTCTAGATCATCACGGTAACACTAGTTCAGTATCAGAGGGAATGAAGGGCACGGAGAGAGGATAGCATTGGGAATTCTCCAGCGTGGTCATGTGGGAAAACGAAACAGGTTAAATGCAGTGGTTTCACTCAGAGCAATGCCAGGCAGACTCTGTGGTCCATTCTCCAATGAACATCCTACTAAGATGAAAGAAGCAACTGGAGATTTCACTCTTCTCCATTAAGGTGTGCAGTCTGTGAATCTTCAAGAATAAACGAGACAGAACACTCAGCACAGTGCCTGGCACACCGTATATGCTCAGTAAACGTCAGCTGCTATTATCATGGGCTTTGAATGCTTCAGGAGGTCTGAATGTTTGTCTCTTGTTGCATCATGATTTAGAATGACGTCTTTACTCTGTTTTCTTGTAAGAGCAACTTCTGGCGTTTTCTTCCAAAAAATATGTATGTCATGGGTAAGTACTACCCAAGTTTTCATGGATTTTGGTGAGTTGGCTTTCTTTTTACTCTGTTTTCTTGTAAGAGCAACTTCTGGCGTTTTCTTCCAAAAAATATGTATTTCATGGGTAAGTACTACCTATGTTTTCATGGATTCTGGTGAGTTGGCTTTCTTTTTTGCTTTTTTCTTTTTAGTGGGGGCTGCTGGTGGTACGGGCATTTATGGTGTAGGGTGTTTTGAATCACTGAAGTGGACTCTGGAAACACCTGGGGAGGGAGATGTCTTGCCAACTCCAGTTCTTTTTTAGTAGCACCATTCCTTAAGCAGCACATCTAATACTTTGATCCCTAAAATAGTAGATTGTGTTAGAAGGTTTTAACTGCAGTGATAATTCTATTTTCTTTGAATGTAAGCAGATAATCAGAATGTTCTGCTGGCCATTTTAATGCACGTCTCACAAATCACAGAATTATACTACTCTAGTCAGTTCTCAGAATTGCAAATCTTAAGACAGATTCTCAACTGTAATGAAGACAGTTATCTTCCAGCAGCTGGGAAAATAAGGGATGGGATATTCTGCTCTTTGGGGTCATAAATCCACGATCATTCCAACTGTCAGAAGACTGACAGGATCCCACAGAAAAGTCTCAAGGACAGCACATGTGTTGTGAAAGCGGGCGTGCTGGGGGTGGGGCTGAAAGTCCCTTTTAGATCATATAGAAAGAGAAGCACTGAGTAAGAACTTTTACTGGCATTTTTCCTGATTTAGCCCAACTGCTATATATATTTGGAGGTATTTTTGAGGGGAACCAGAAAAAAGGACCCAAGGCAGAACCTTTTCCCAAATTTGTGTGTGTGTGTGTACAGGGGGGAGAGAACAGTCATAGAGACGCAGCCTACGTCAGCATTTTCATCAGACTGAAGTTTAGCATTTGGTTAGGGCCCCCTCTGATGCATGGACAGGGGCAAAGGTCTGTAGGAGGGTAAGCAGCAAAATACGAACAAAAGCAAGAGCCGTGTTCTCTCAGTGGTTACTAACCAATCCTGGGGTGTCAGCACTGAAGGAAGAAAGGGCTCATGGGCCAGGCTCATGAGCACAGCTGGGAGCCACACGGGAATGAAGCAGCCGGAGGGGCCACGTGGCACTATGCTGGGTGCTGCTATTTGCGTAAGTCTATATCGAGCACTCTTGATATAAGTGAATGAAGACTTCTGCAAGTGATGGGAAAAAACCAAAAGCATGTTCTAGGGAAAGGCTAGATCAAGGCGCAGCAGCTCCGGTCCAGTGGGAGGCCTCGGCGGGGAGAAGAGCAGACATCCTGGGCAGGAGACTGCGTAAGGCGTCTAGACCACCCAACGCTCAGTGGGTGGGATGAGGTGGATGAAGCGAAAGGAAGAATAGTGGAAGGGAGAGAAAGAGAACATGGACTTGGAAGGGCTAGGGCGACAATCCCACCAACTCAGCAGAACAACGGAGAAAACTCTGGCTAAGAAAAGGCTGCCGATACAACTCTGGCTAAGAAAAGGCTGGTGGTTGCCGTGTAAGAGCGGTGTGGGGGAACGCACGTGTATCCAGTAACCTCAGGACATTGCGAATATCAGTACTCCAATTATGCCCCAGAACTGTTTACAGCCCATATGTGTTTGTGTTTGTGTCATGTCAGCCAAACATCATATGATCCAATGAGGAAAATGTGTAAATTCCCACTTGATACTTTCTGATGGTGATGACAATGGAAATACCAAGTAACCAGGGTAAGAATTAAAACCCCGGGGAGCTTGTTAAGCAGTCAATGTCCTCAAGTTAGGTGCACAATACGCTAGCTGGCTAGCAAGTCAGACAGTAGTGGAGGCCTTTCAGGGGTTGACTCAGCTTGGGATTCTGACTGTAGTTTCTGCCAAAGGTGGAGCAGGTTGAAACTGGATGTGAGACAGAGGTTTCACATATAAGTCAAATGGGGAGCAATAGCAAAGGCTTCCATTTTGAAGCTGAAATAACTCCAAATCCTTCTCTTTCATTGAGGAGAGGACATGAACACCATGTCATTATTTTAGTTTACTGAGTTGCTGTTCCAAATGTTCTTGGGAGCATTAGTGCTAAAAGGGAACAGGGAATGGGAGCTCTGCCATTTCCAATCACATAAAGGACAGAAATCCTTTTAATTATGACCATGCCAATCTACATCTTGCTAAAACAGCTAATTACATGTCAGGAGGACACTCAGTCATTCAGAACAATTGTCATTATATTTTTATATATTCATTCTGTGCCACCCCCCTCAATTACCATGGTTACAATTTGAAAGGATTCAGGCAAACCTTCATTTGATCACAGCACACCAATGTGAATTTGAGAGTTAATTATGGATGTACAGAGCCACTTTCATTAAAAGAGAAAATGCAAATGGAGTTAAGGGAGCGGCACCCTGAGATGTCTGAACTGGGAGCTGAGCTGTGAGCACATGCACATGCCCTACTCAGGTCAGCGTCCGGCAGCCCTCATGGACCACACACTCTCGACAGCTGCCCCACGCACTGCACTATGGGCCTCAGACACCCACGGGAGGGCACAGTACTGCTGTCCACATCAATCCCCAAACTTGCCAAGTAAAAAGGACGTCAGGAGAGCAAGGCAAAGCCTCCTGCAGATGCATCCTTGTTTGCTGTTGGGGCGCTGCGCTGGCTAATGAGCTAACGGGCGTGGAATGTGGGTGGTTAGTAGTCAGTGGTGTAAAATGCTAGTTAGACTTCACTTGAATGGAATTGACTTGATTTAGTACTGCTCACTGCTTGGCCCGAAGTGTCATGTGAAGCATGCTAAAGAAGAAATCCAGTGATCTGCACATTTGTTACCCATGGCATCTACTACATCCTCAAGGTCCTTGGGTGATGATAAGAACATGGTGTAAGATCTTTTGGTGCAGCCAGAGTTTCCCTCTCTTCTCCACCATATCTATTCCCCTCTTAATTACAAAGGAAAACTAACGTTATAGGAAACCGGATTTCTCAGATCATTAGCTTTCTCTTTGCTGCCACTTCTCATATCCACCAAGAAAGAATAATGAAGCTGATGTAGAAACCTCACAGTTTATGAACTTCCAGCTTTTGAACATCCATGGGTAGGAACAAAGTTGCACTTCAGAGTAAGCGAGTCAACCATCTTTTAAGATGGCAAAAGCAGTAGCTTATCACTTTTAGCTTATAAATAAAGAGAATTAAGAACAGTAACCTATTTGTGATAGGAGTTTCTGTAATCAGAAAAGGGACTTATAGGCTTGATGTATTTAAAAAGCCTTTCCCACCACCTCAGTAGGGTAGTTCTCCTGAGAGTGGTAAAGAAATCTTTCCTCTTAAGTGATAGTCATCTTTTGAAAAGAAGAGCATATAATGAAGGAGACGGGGGTGCCAGAAAAGAAAGGGCCTCTGCCTTGACAACAGGCTATGGTCAGGGAAATCCTTATAGGATTACCTGTCCACTCACAGTTGCCTCCCTGGGAAAACCTCGTGTTCTCATTATGATGCAATACCTTCAAACTGGAAAACTTAGGTGTCACGAAGTAATGTAAATTAGACAGTCCGGAAATTAAGAAACAGGAAGAGGGTTTTCAGGGCATGCAGCTCAGTTAGCCAAATGCAATATGGCTGACAACTGATCCCAGAATTCTGAGTAAACATCCTTGCTATTTAGAGAGCACACAAAAAGGAATGTTTCAAATGTGTAATTCCCACCCCTGCCCCAGTGCATCCCCCACCCCACCCCTATGCCCCACACAGACGCCACCAGCAGAGCTGGTCAGTGCGCCCAACTTTCACTTGGGAAATCTTGACAAACAAATCTGGCTCAGTAAAGCTATAAATGGATTTGGCTGGTCTCAATGCAGCCCCAATGAATACAGTAGTAAAACATTACTAATAATCACAACAACAAAATGACAAAATCTATCACCACTCTGACCTAAGATTTAAATCACGGACAGAGATTAACACAGAAAACCAATGCACAATGTGAAGGGTCAGGACTATTCAGTGTAGAGTGCTACTGAGCACAAGATCATCAATAACAAGAAAAATTATTGCCTAAGAATCTGTTGAGACTCATTGGGGATAAAATACTCTGGTTGTTCTCTGTACAAGAAAAGACAAAAAGCAATTTTAAAAGGCAGAGCCACAAGTTAAATGGGAAGACTGCTTCTACCCAAACCCTTCTTAAGACCAAGAGAGTAAGGACTTGGAAGTTCACATTTTTAGGACAGGGGTGGGAGGATCATGTAAGAAGAAGGGATTATTTCCACTGTTATGGGCAGAAATAATACAGCTGGTCAGTGGAATATGTGGCTGGTCAAAAAGATGGCCTGCAAGACAGGGAGGAGTGTTTGTGTGAAGAGATGGCCCACACCCACCTACTCTGCCTACCGTGGAAGATAAAAATCCCAGCAAAGATGTCAGCTCAAGATGAGGCCTTAGTACTAGAGACCAGAGGCAAATGGAAGAGGAGCTGTTCACAGAGGGAGACGAAGTGACTGGAGATTCCTGATGGAATGAGTCTATTTACACCTGGTGCCTGATGGTTGGAATCCAGGAGGGAAGTTTGTAAAGACAAAGGCCAAACAGGGAGAACTGAAACAAGTGTATGAATGAGTTCTTCATGAGTTGTCCCCTTTGAGGTAAAAAATATATGTGGATATCTGGCCCCAGCAGTGGCTGCTGGTTACCAGAATGCCTGCCATCCTAAATCTACCAGGGACTGGGGTATTGGGATTTGCACACTTCAGTAGTGATGAGCTGCTTCCTCACTCACATCTTTTTAGGTGGTCACCTCTACTGAGCTAGAGTGAAAGGTATCTTAAAGGGGTCTTCCTGTTCCAGGAACTTTCTTCCTGTGAAGGAATAATAGGAGAATGTGGGGGGCGGGGCTGTCCCACCCAAGGACAGTTTGCAGGAATTGGACAGACTCCCTAGGTAGGTGGAAGGTGACCAACACTTATCAACCACTTTAAAGGACTGAGACTGTGAAGAAAATTGCCCTAAGGGGTACTCAAAATTACACGCTTTGCTGAAATAAACCTGAAATAAACCAAAATGTCTGGTTGGTACTGACTGGCACCAGAAGGTCTCAGCTAAGAGTATACTGTGCTGCCGTCCCTGCCCTTCATCCAACATTAGGGTTATCAACAGCAAGGCAGAAATCTCATGAGGATGGTCCATCTTTTGAAGGTCCCTTTGTAAGGCTGTGTTGTAAGAGGAGTAGGAAGTTTACCCATTTGACTACAGGAATTCAATCAAAGTGTCTTTAAAAAAAAAAAATAACAGAAAAGTTACAAGAACCGCTGACAAGGTACCCCATCCCCTCCCTCAGTCTTCCTCACTAGGGAAAAGCAGTCCTGAAACAATCCTCTGGGGCCTGAGGGAAGTACAAGAGGAGGGACATAACAACCAAAAAGCACAGAACGTGATTTTTTTTTTCCCTTCAGTAAGAGAGCAGTTTAGGGTTTCTATTTAAATACCACCAAACCTGAAAAAGCTTAAGAAAACAAATTCACTATCCAAAGATACTACAAATTAGACAGTGGCAACTCCATATGCCATTATAAGAACTAAAGTAGCCTGGACAAGGTAGAATTCAACCTGGTGACAAAAAAAACAAACAAACAAACTCCGAAACAAAAAACAAACCAGCAATGGTAGATTTAAATCTAGGCCCCAAAGAACTACATTTTGCTTTTAGTAAAAAAGCAAAAGTTATATGTAAGGCAGAGGGTCGTCTTAGGAGCAGGCCAGCAGTCTTCTTCAATTAAAAGAAGAATTCTGGATGAAAGATTCCTTCCTCCTGTTCCTACTGAACCCAATATAGGCTATCCTGCACTGGTAGACATGTTCTTTCACCTTTTCCAGGTTGCCAGATAGGGCCCAGTACTGCTTTCATAGATACTGACTCTCCTTTATTCTCTGAAGCTTTTTCCTTTCTTAAGGCCTTAAAACAATGAAACCTTTTAGCTCTTCTCTGGCAATCACTGTATTTCTTTAGAAACTGCAGCTGTCTTAACAGTTTGAGTCTGTTTCTTTAAAAAGACCGGCAAGAACAAATGATACTAGCAACCATCATAAAGAAGCTATCAATTATAATAATCTCCTTACAATAAATCATGGATGTGGCTTGTCAGACAGTATAGTTTTCTCTCTTCTTTTCTTTCTGAGTCAACTGAGATTAAGCAGACAAAATTCCACCGAAATGGAAAGATACAATATGTTATATTTCTTCTATGTAATATAAAAGGAAAGAAAGATAACATAATCTTCTAACTGAAATAAAAAGTCAAACACACCAAGAAAGAAAATGAGCAGGGGGATCATTCCTGAGAATAACAAATGCTACTCTTGAATTTGTTGGTTCAAGTAATACAGTAAAACAGAAAAGACTACCCCATTTTACTTCAGTTCTTAGAAGCTGGAAGTATATACATTATCTGCCTGAAATCCACAAACAAGAGCAGGCCCAGTCCCTGCCCACAGCTCTTTAAAATCACAGACCCATATAAGGTGGCATCTTCATGCCTTCTCGAAGGCTTCCGCACACTGGCCTAAGCAGGATGAACGGATACGGAGAAGACGTCGTCAGCATGTGCCTTAAGTGGAGTCAGACCAGCTAAAAACTGTTGGATATTTAAAATCTCCCTAACAAGGAAGGTAAAAACAAAGAAGGTCAGTCTCTCTCTCAATGGTTTTAGGCTGAATACATTTGGTGGGGGAGGAGGGGTGAAGAGGTAAGGAAACGGCACCTTCCTTCCACCTTAGAAATCGTTCTCAGGTAATGGACGAAAAGACAGAAGCCCTGTTTAATAGCCAGCCCCACATCCCCCTTTAAACAAGTCTCCACCGTGTGTAGAAAGGAGATGGAATGAGGCAGAAAATATACAGCAGTCATGCCTCCTTCAGACGCACCCTACGCTGCTACATCGAAGGCGGTTTCCTCTTCCCCACAGTGACAGTGTGTCATTTAATCGGGATGCCAAGAGATCATTTTCATACAAGGCCAGCAGATGTAATTTTCTTTGATGCATGAATAGTTCATCATTTTGCTACTAGATGACAAGGTGATCACAGGGTGACTTTATAACGCAAGTTCACTGTTTGGTATTTTGAGTTCTCAAAATGAAAAAAAGATTTATCAAATATAAATATCTTTAAAAAGTAACAAAAGTGCTACATATGTGATCAAGGAAAAAAATTCCATTAGTTACTGCCGCTTAAAGTAGATTAAACTTTACAAATATTACCACATCCATTATCAATATGGCTTCCAATTATTAAATAAATTGCCTGTAGCAATATAGCTTTTCACACCTCTACAAGGACAGAGTAAAGAGAACACCAAAGCAGTCACATCACGTTGTATCTCGAAGACCCACCACATAAGTGGCAATTGTCCCCTGCTTTTTTCTGCTCCTATTTAGGAAAGTATTTGCATTTGTGACAGTCAGCCAGCATAATCCCACGCTAAAGTCCTCTATCAACCTCTCATATTGAGGGGGCTTCAGTTAATGGATACAAAGACTGGAAGTTCATTCACTCATTTGTGACCTTAGCTCCATCCTTGAAAGACTTTTTGGTAGCAGGGAAAAGGGACACAAACAGGAGGCAGAGCAGCTTCCATGATGCCTCCAGCACTTTTCCCGGCAGGCACATACCTGTGCCACGCAACGTACAGTGGTTCTGAGAACTGGACTTAACATCCATTAGACATTCAGCTCATGTTTTTTTCCAATGCTCTCAAGCTGGGTTTTTTGTTTTTTTTTTTTAATGACTTTTGTTTTTTGTCTTTTTGTTTGTTTGAATCATGGTCCCAAAGGCAGAAGGCAGTATTTTATCTACTAAGTCACACAGCTTGTGAGAGGAAAGGATGTCTGTGTCAGGCATGTTAACGTCAACCAAAATCTGAGATCAAGTTTTTCCATGGACATTCTTAGCACAGCACCCAAAGAAGTATAATCTAGCCACAGTGTGACTATTATGAGGCACGGCTTATTGCAGCTGGAAATCAATGATTCCCACGCTGAGTGGGAATTCTAGTGTTCCTTTTACTCTGTGGATACTCCCCAAATGGTGTCTGTCAATCCTGGGCCACACTACCTCAGCTTGCATCCTATCAGTCTTGGGGAAGGAAAAGGGTACAGACTAGTGTTACAGGAATCTAAAGGTACCCAAGGTTTTACATGTAGCCTAATATTGGAGAACTGAGGGCTATCTAAATACCTGGAAGCACTTTCTTGGAATGCTAAGACAGAGCAGCAAGATTTTCTAGCCTCGGGGGCTGGGAGAGGGAGTTTGGTTGGTTGGTTGGTTATTATTTACTGGGAATTAATACTGAGAGAGTATATGCAAAGGCTGAGGGCACCATGCCATCTTCACAGAACAAGACCCTAACGGCTAACTGACATACAAGAAACTGCAAGTTATACTGTAAGAACACATGTTAAGGACCGAGGAAAGTCTGCTAAGGTGCTACGTCTAAACTAAGTTAACTTCTCCTGTTCAACCCTCCCTGATCAGTCGTCATCCAGGGCCTCTGTCTTGATTTCGTTGGCTCCTTGTCGGGCCAATGCCAAGATAGTGTGGTTGACTGCTGCCATTTCCACAGCTAATGAGATGGGGTCTTGGTGGTCACTATGGCTAGTGCTGTCATCCTAGATGTGCAGAAATAAGAAACAAATGTTATTAGTGGACTGGCAAAATTCTCCAACTCAAAGAAAGGCATGCTGAGGGCAAGGCGAGGCAGAACATTCGTGGGAGGAAACAGTGGGGGAGGGGCTCATGACACAGTAGAGGTGAAATGTATTTAAGTAGACACTGAATGGAAATAGGTCAGGACTTCCAATTGACGTTTTTATGATTCAACAAATAAAAAGCACCAAAATGTTTTTGTCTTGCTGAGAATTTTATTCCTTCTATCGGAAAGACTGCTGGTGATGCTAATCAAATCTGATCATTCTAGTTTGCAACAAACATAGCACTAGTCACTGAAGGCCAGACTAGTGAGCTATTAAATTCTGGACTGGTACTCTTACAAACAGATTATCAGACCTCATTGTATCTCTCTGCTGAACTGAGAAAACTAAACTACAGACACCAACATCTAATGGGTAAAAACGCATTTTTATAAAAGAACAAAAAACCAAAACCTCTCAATTACAACAGGACAAAAGTATACGAGCCGGAAATGGCTACGGGAGACCACGGTGGTGCTCTCCTGCTGTCAGGCTGCTGTGCCAGGGAAGCGGCAGGTGTCGTACTTAGGGGGAGTGTGAAGCTCTCCTTCCGTGTACAGCTCAATGTGTTAAACAATAAAGCTGTGAAGGAAACTGGCATTGCAGGGTATTTGTCAGACACTGAAGATGGTGTTACAAACAAGGGGTAAGTTTCTCACCTGTCACATCTTCAGGGGAACTCTGCATCAGAATGCTTTGGAAAGGGTAAGCCCCTTTGGAAAAAAAAAAATCATGGGATGTGCTGCCCTTAGGGCATGTGGAAAAAATGATGGAAATGATCCACCTACATTGGTAGACTGAAAAATAACAGGAATATTTTTGATTAGAAAGACAGAATATTTGCTTGAATAAAATGTGGAGCTATGATTTGGAGTCCTAAAAAGAGAAAACTTAATCCGTGGGAACCATGGGCATCACTGTTTCATTCCCATTTTCACAGACTGGTCTTTAGAGTTTAAAAGGGGGTTGCGTGCACTCCTGCAGCGTCTGCATTCAAGCTGGTAAACAGAGGCTGTAAAGTGGTTGCCAGAGGGAAGAACAGAGCGGACTACATTTAAGAGTTGGCTGAGGGGCCACGAAGAGGTATATATATACCACAGTAAAGAATTAAAGTTTCCCTGCTAGGGTCCAGAAGAGAGCATACATTCTTTTCATATTCCAAACAGAAATGAATTTTAAATCCTATGACAATTTTAATGAAATCTGTCAAGAGATATGTGGGGGGAAAACTCCCACGTTCTTAGTGAATGAATTATTCCATTCAGTGGCTACAATTAAATATATTTTTCCCCCCAAGCAATGAAGACTAGGTCAGGGTGACGTGAGAAGACATGCATTTATGACAAGATGTGTGTGTCAATGTGCCAGAGACTCTGGAAGAACCACTCATCTGGGCATGAGGGTTTTCACTGCAATGGGGCCGTGGTGGGTGGGACCTTCTACTGTGTGCTGCATTGGTACATGTTTAGGCATGGATTACAGCTACCCAGTAGCCCCTAGTATTTCTCAAACATTGAGTGTGTGTGTGGTGGATGGTGTAACTTGCTTGTTTGGATCAGATCCTCCTCTCTTCTTCTACCTTCTCTGCTTCTCTGCCTCCCTCTGAACTTCTTCCCTCCTCCTCCTCCCCATTGCGTACTTGCCAAGTATCCTGTTGTATGACAATAAATCCATGTGGGTGAATAACAGTTTCTCACAAATTTAACAGGACAACTGAATCTTACCACATTCCTTTCAAATTACATGAAAATCTAACTACACGCATGAGCAGAGTGGAGGGACACTGGATTGTCTCCTCTCTCCCACCCCATACCAAACGCACCCACAGAATTGACTTGTCATACTGTCCCACCCACTCTGAACCAAGAACCTCTGCTCTCAGCTGCTCACCTGCTCTGAGTAGTCATTTCCGTCAACATCATCACTGTTGGAATGACCTCCTGGACTCTGTACATCTATCCCATGACTCTCCAGGATTGCTGCTTCTTCGAAAAAAGCAAATAGATCCCTAAATTATCTGTTACATTATTGTAATCGCTTGAACATGGAATTAATTTTTGTGCTGAGGAAACTAGGGTGTAATTAAACAAGAACCTAGATTCCTGTATGTTTTCTTTTAAATTGTAGATGGACAAAATTAAACTGCACACAGGCCAGGGGAGGAACACATCTGTCATTCTGGAGCCCCTGCTGCTATGCGAGCCACATGTGAGTGGTTGACTGTTAGGTGCTTCATAAATACTTACGAAGTAATTCAACAGCCCTCCTGTCTCAGGGTTCTATAAGATGTTTGACAATTGTATTGATGGAGAGGTAGGGAGTTAAGTTTAGAAATGAAATACAATTTTAGAAGCTCAAAACCACTCTCCCACCCCAATCTCATCAATTCATATTTCTTAAATGCTCTTTTAAAAAATCTGTGTTTTGCTGTGTTCCCTATTAAGACTCTTTCATTCCAATTCTATTAAGCACATGTTTCTTAATATCTAAGTCATGGCCCAGTAATAACAAAGAAGCTCAGGGTCTCATTCCCTCGCTCAAGACCTTAGCAAGTAGCTTTAATATGCAGCACAGGAGTCATGCAGTCAGGGGCCATATCTAATTCTAGACTCTAGAATATGAAGAACAATGCCATTATTAATATAATACAAATAATGCTAATAGTACTAGCTCTTAAAAACACAAAGAAAAACATAAGGACAATTCTTGTTAGGCTTAAAAGTTAGCATCATTAAGACCTGCAGTTCTAAACTGAAGGTGCTCTCAAAGTAAATACAATGTCCATGACTGCTTCAAAAGGGAAACAGCCTCTCTGATACATTACCAATATTGGCTCTCCTCTTGATCTCCTTCCGTCTGTTAGCAAACCAATTATATACTTTCAGGGAGGTAACTCGTTCCAGATCAGACAGTTTTTTGCCTGTGAATACATGCAATAAAATTCAGATAGTCTGTAGCTGAGACTAGTTTTAAGGAATAATACTTTCTTTTTGAAAAGTTCTTTTGATTGCATTTATTGCCAGAATAACAGATACAGGTTTTGTTGTTTTTTAGTATTCTGTATACACTTAAACTATTATTAAATGAATGAAAACTAATACAAAAATAGCAACCAAGAACATAAAATATTTCAGAAAGCCACAAAACACTAAAGAATTCCAATACTAAATACAAAATTAACGAATTCCACAAAGTCAGGCTGCCAGGGTTCAAAGGTCATAGGATAGTCCATGGAGGCTTCATTTAATTAGCATCATTGTAGATGAGTATGTCAGTCTTCATCAAGTTTTCAGGTAGCTCAAGTTTACTTACATCTTTAAGGCCTTATATAAACTGTTTCCTGCTATTTACTTACATCTTTAAGGCCTTATATAAATTGCTTCCTGCTATCTTCAGACAGCAGGGAACAATTATTACCCATGTTTTCTTGAAGACTAGAGGTCACTCTGACCATCCATTATTGTAACTATGCTAGAACGCATAGCCCAATTCAGGTTGCATTTTAGATTTATTAGCTTCTTTGCTGTCAAATGTGACTTCTTACAGATTAGCACCATGCTGGCCAACAAGCGCCCATCTGCACCTTTCCCTCCTCCACTGGTCTTTTCTGTTTTAGCTTTTAATCCACAGTGGGTGGAGAAGCCAGAAAACAGGTTAAAGCACTGATGATACAGGGTGAAGTGTTTTCCAGGAAGCTTCTGAGCTCCTGCTCTCCTCATGGGTGGGACTTTGGCTGGTGTGAAGTAAGGGTATAGGTGTCATTGGCGGGGTGTCTGTAGGGTCTAGACTGCTAGCAGTCTGGCTTCTGGGTAAGGGAGAATAAATCACATTTTAATTATGATAAAACACTGATACTTTGGTACAGATAGCCTTTAAGCCAATCAAATTAACCAGCCAAATGAAGATCAATTGATCATCTTAACTGAGAATGATTTCTGGTAACAAAAACCGTGAAATGTGGAATAATATTTTAACACATGGAAGAAAAGTTGTATGTGTGTTTAAGTGGCTCGGCTGACTTGCATGAGAACAATACAACTTCAGAATGGAACTACCCTTAGTTTTTCCTAACTATATGCAGAAGTCATCCCAACATGGGAAGGAGAAAGAAGCCAACTCCAATAAGAATTCTTTCTTCAAACAGGAATACAGAATTATAAAATACTTGTTAAAAAAAATCTAAATCTTTTCATTTACAAGCCTTGCTTAAATATTCCAAACTTTAAAATTATTTTGGAATTGACATAGTTAATGCTGTATTTATGGAGAAAGAAATCTATACAGTCTTAAAAAATATAATTTCAAGGTCTCCTATCTTAAGCAGGGACACTCCCTGGAAACTTTCCATGTGCACGTCTGATCTGGAGTACTGGAATTGCATCCCTAAGAAGTACTGCTTGAACAGGACAGGGCAGTGCCTAGACAGGAAGGTGGTGAGGATGGAGCGAATGGCACCCAGATGGAATGAGTAAAAAAAGATTCCTTGTCCCAAATGATGATCTGAAGCCGAAAGCTCCACCATGGAGGAAAGTGGCAGCTTGCTGCCTTACCTGGCTTCTGTATAACTGCATTGCAAGCATTGGCAATTTCTTCTCTCTTAGCTTCATCTGGGTATTGATTCTCATTGAAGTAACTGCAGGGGCAACCAATTAAGACACAAAGTTTGTACTTTAAAAAATGTGCTCCCATTAAAATACTAACCCACTGAAAAATACGTTCTTCTTTATGATGTAACATTAGTGTCTAGTCCAGGGTGTCCAGTGGAATTCTCTGTGAGGATGGAAATGGTCTGGCCTTTACTATCCAATAGGGGAGCCACTACTCACATGTAGCTGCTGAGCAGCTGAAATGAGGCTGATGTGGCTGAGGAAGTGAATTTTTTATTTAATTTTAGCAAATCTAAATATAAATCGCTAAATGTGACTAGTGGCTACTGTATTAGTGCAGGCCTAGTCACTGCTTTGCTTCACCGAAAGCTGTCCTTGATATAAAAGTTGCTTGTGATACACATGGGGGTGGTTGAAATCATGGAAGGCACTGGTAACAGCAGGACTTTTGTGTGTGTGTCATATTTTGTAGTGGCAAAAATTTTAAATGACCAAATTGTGCCTCAATGGGAGAATGGCAGAACAAATTATGGGACATCTATATTTATACACAGCTATTTAAAAATGACTAGGAAAAAAAGAAGTTAGAGCTCTCCATTGACCTGGAGGGATGTTTACAATATTCCTAAGTAAGAAAAACAATCTGCAGAATGATGTGTATGGAAAATACCATTATGGAATTTGAAAAATTCCTGTCTATGTATACATAAATTTGCATGGATAAAAGCTGGAAGAGTACACATCAGGCTGTAAAAATCAATTACTTTGATGTGGGGAAAGGGGATTAGTGGGAGGAGATGTAAATATTTTTGCTTTTTTCCATATGTTAAAAAAAAAAAGCACATATTCTATACAATAGTACTTACAAGAAATTAGGTTTACAGAACTCCTCCTTAGCATTACCAGACCTGTGAGACTCTATGTGGGAAAAGAATGTTTATTAGGGCTACTTTTTCTGTCAACTATGATTTTAAGGAAAGAAAAAGGATCTTCATGTTATGATCAGGAAATGACCCCTTGTCAGGTTCTATACCCTCCTGGCTTCCCTTCCCTTAAAATGCAGCTTTTCCTTTCCCTCACCCTCCAATCTGCGATGGTAGAAATGCAATTCTATCAGGAATAAACAACTAGAGGCGGCAAACCCTTCTTGTGAAACCCCAAACCCCCACTCCTGATGCCATCACCCCCACCCCCACTGCCCCACCCCCACCATCTCCATGGAGCACATCTTTTGACACAGCAGCTGCCATCCCTGGAAAGCCTTTTCCTTTGCTAAAACATTAAGTCCTAGAACTATATCTATACCAGGCCTGTCAACTACCATCCTCCACAGTGGTCTCCTGCTTGATTCCACGATTTAAGCATCTCTTCCTATATGATTTTGTCATCATTTTTAGGGCTCTAGTGTTCATATTGAGGATTTTTCCAATGGACTGTCCCCATAACTGCTCCACTTCCACATTTCTACTGACCTTTACTCCACCTGTGCTATTTACTTGGGCAATTAGTTTCACGAGCCTGAAGCACTGGCATCAACTAGAGGCTTGTTAGAAATGTAGAATCCCAGACCCCACCTCAAACTGAATCAGAATCTGAATTTTACAAGATTTCCAGGTGATTCGAATGCACCTTAAATGTTGGAGAAGCACTGATTAGCTCATTTATTTAAAGTTCAACAAAGACAAAAAAAGCAGATATTAAGTACCTAACACTGTAGGCTTGCACTGTGGGTAAAGAGAATTAGACAGCTTCTGACATCAAGGAGTCTACAATCTACTGGAGAGACAGACATATAAATCAGTATGTTTGTGATAAAATTCCGTAAGATGTCTGAAGACAGCACTGCTGGAGCACAGATGAAAGTGTGCTCAGTGTTGTTTGCAGGGACCCAGAAGGATGTGGCAGAGGAAGTGCCATCGTGAGTTAGGTCTTGAAGATGGGCAGGAGTTTGCAAGGCAAAGAGGAGGAGGAAGAGCATTTCACGCAAGGGGAACAGCATGTGCAAAAGCCAAAGGTGGATAAAAGCCCTGAGGATTCTGGCCACAGAGAAGAATCCAGAGTGGTTAGAATATGGGGTTCACAGGAAGAAATGAGGAGATATTAGCCTGGAAAAGCAGGATGAGGCCAGCTTGTGAAAAGCCTTGTCTGTTCTTGTCAGTAGTGAAGACGTCATCTTGAAACAGAGGTTTTCAAGCCACATAGAGATATACACCCATCTGTGTTTTAGAAAGGTCACACATCTTCAAGACTCAACCTTCTGAATTCTACCTCCATGATCTTAATTCTGACAACCCCCAATCAACTTTCTCCTTACTACTCCTCCTCAGAATAATTTTTCCTTCACCTTCTTTATAATCTCAAATCCCTTTAAAACGCTCCCCCCGACAACTTAAAAAAAAATCTGGTTTATCTATTCTTCCCGGCCTCACCTTTCATTTCTTAGCCTGAATTTCATGGTGAGCCAGATCAACAATATCCCTTAGGAGAAACTTATTTTGCTTCTCTGTCCTTCCACCATACCTGTCCAGCCAATCTCCTACCCTGCAGAAAGCACCTTCCACATGTTCTCTTCCATCCTTCTCTCCAAGTGTTCCTGGACAAAGTCATAAAATAGGGCCAATTGGTTTCTTTATAAATCTGTGGGTTTCAACCTAACTGGGCCCCTCATTTTGGATGGGAACTCTTTCTGTCCTTTCTAACTTTTTTATACTCCATCTTTAATGCCCCACTTACCTGAAGCCTTTTCACTCGTAGGTCCCAAGCCTTCAAACCCACCGGTCATTCTTTTTACAAATGACCTTGTCTCCTCGTTTACCAAGAGGGAGGTTACTTAATGTAAGTTTGTGTGATGTTTTTAGCTTCTCAGCCTCTCAACTTGAGTCACTGCTCATTCATTTCTTCGTTTCCTGGTGGAGGAAGATGCACTCTCCTCTTTAAGTCTGCTTCTCCACTTGTCTCGCTGACCTCACCCCTCCTTCCTCAGCTTTCTCCGATCCTTTTTCCTGCGTGCCCCATCTTTTCCCTGTACCTATACAATTATGCTATTTCACTGACTTTGTGATGTACATTTCTTTATTATTATAATCCCTAAAATCAAGATGTATCTTATAATTGGTGGTGTCTGAAAATTAACTGGCAGTGGGTTTTTTTGTCCCCCGTCACCAGTACATAAAATCAAGGTGTGTCTTATAATCAAGGCCTTTTCAGATCTGATGGATCATGGATGTTGTTAAGACCTACAGGTCCTATTTCAGCAGCAGCTCTAGGGCCACTATACCTCATTATAGCAACTGTTCTTCCAACTTACTGCAAAGCCAGTGACTGACGCCCCATCCACCCCCTCTAATGTCTGCTTAATATTCCTAGTGCACATCTCTAGTCATGGGCACTATTTTGTTAAAATTTTTTTAAAGTATATTATAGAGGTGTTCAGAGTTCTCCCCTAAACTACCTTTGCTTCTTTATCTGCTGCTACTACCATATATGCATGCTACAGTCTAGGAAAATGGAAGAACCTTGTAAACTCCTGGTATCTCTGTGCCTTTCTCTTGCCAGTATATCTGCTTTTTGCCTCCCCCCAACCTAAATCTTGTCTTTCAGGATATATGTTGAGTTATCAGCTCCTGGCCAAAGGTAAATATCACCCCATGAATCCCACAGCACTCCATCTGTCCCTCCCACACATTTTTTTCATCTTGAATTATAGTTATCACTGTATACATACATCTCTCCTCCACTATGCCAAAAGCCACTTGAGGTACAAGTCTGATTCATTCTTATATGGCAGTGCTGACAAGTCAATAATGATGAACAAAGTCCCCACCAACACAGTGTAGGGGTCTCCAAAAGAAATAAATACCACTGTAAATGAACTGCTGAAAGTCAGGGATATACAGAAGGTCTCAAAAGATACATACTAAAGAAATGATTCTCTCTTGACAGCAAGAATACTAGGGCTGGATGGAAGACAGGAAAGTATTGGTGGTAATTAAGATTGGTTTTCACATTCTGTTTTATATACTTCTCTGTTCAGTTTTTGAAATGAACATAATGCTATTTTTATAAATTTTTAATAAAAGAACTTTGGGAAAACACTGAAAAAATTAAACGCTAGTTTAATGATTAATACTCCATAAACAATTTATGTTGGTAAAGTGTATTTGGATCAGCTAGAAAATATTAGGATTGTGACTGTTATTCTAATGATTAGTAGGATAAAGCCACAATATTTTTGGAAGCTAAGTTAGAATTTTTTTTTAATTTTTTATTGTTATGTTAATCACCATACATTACATCATTAGTTTTTGATGTAGTGTTCCATGATTCATTGTTTGTGCATAACA